ACGTACTATAAAGTAATTGCACATATGTTCGAGCACAATACACCAATGAGATTGTATATATTCCTATGAAAAAGTGACAACATCATTCAAACATTCAAAAATATTTTTATTTTGATCAGGCTCCGACATTTCTTTTTCAATATTATTTATTTGGAAGATAGACAAACTAAATAATCTGTTTGCAAACTATTGACCATCTTGGTTACAATGATTTTAAAGTTTATCATAATATCTTTCACATTTGTTTGGATTTGTAATATTTATATGCCTAATCACTTTTTAATGTATTTATTGTTCAATTTTTCGATCATGCATAATGCTTTGATGATAAAGATCATTTCTTGATTTTTCAACAATGACAACCAAACAAAACAATGAGACTATTTAGAAGCATATCATTCGTTGAAATATTTGAGAGCAGAATTAGAAAGTTATTATTAAAATTTGCATTATGTATTATAAAGTTTTAAATTTTTTAATTATTTAGAATTCTAAATTGATAATGTATGATCATTATTTATGAGAACCAATTTCTTAGAGTGTCCATATATTTAAAAGCTACCTACAAAAAAGTATAATTTTAAAAGGCTTTTGTTTCTAGATAATGGTATTCATATTTCTCTAAGAATAATTTTAAAAAGTATAATTTTAAAAGACTTTTGTTCCTAATTGCATTATTATAGTTTTTTTTTTGTTTTTTTTCATTAAAGCATATTTATATGTATTGCGTCATTTTTTCTAGTTGATATATAATGACATTATCAAAATATCTTAATTATTAGGCTACAACTAATAAAATCACATACGATAAATACTATTTAATATTATTTATTTACGATAATAATATATTTGATACAAATGTACTTTTATACTGTTTATAAGATTAATAAGTTTAGGATTTTTTTCCCATTGTTTGATAAAATAGCAAGTAACCAACACATTGAAATATATGTTACAACCATAATGGTATTACCTTTCAAGCAGTACTAGTACAGAGCTCGTGCGATGCACGGGGTGCATAATTTTAAGGTCATTTATCCATTCTTATAACTATATAAATAAATAAAAAAAATGTACGGGATATATATAGTACGTGACCTGTAATAGGCCAAAATGCCAAAATGTGAACACGGGTGATGCACGGGGTGCACAATTTTAATGTCATTTATTAGTACAGAGCCCGTGCGATGCACGGGGTGCACAATTTTCTAGTATGTGTAATAAAAATACATACCCGTATGCACGAGACAGAAGCACTAAATGAGTCATTTCCACAGATCTTGCCCGTTAAGTAGCTCCTGAACACGGGTGCACAATTTGTTGTATGTACCATAAAATCAAAACGGATTTTCATTCAATTAGATAATAAATTAGATAATAAATAAAGTCTTTTTATTTTAGTACAAATTTTACGTACTTTGTTTTTTTACTTATCGGATGTTATGGGATTTTTTTTGTTAAAACCGATTTTATGAAATATAATACAAATACAATTAGATGATTGAACAAAATCAGAAAAATTTTTCATACAATTAGATAATAAAAAGGAATTAGATAAGGAAAAGAAGGACTGATTTTATGAGATTTACTTTGACAAAATCGATGTTAATATGGAATAAGACAAATAAATAGTCTTTTTATTTTAGTAAAGATTTTACGTCTTTTTTTTTCAGATGTTATGAGATTATTTTTCTTAAACTGATTTTATGGGATATAAGAGAAATAAATAAAATAATTAAATAAAATTTTGGATAGAAATAGCAATGCATTAATTACGTTGCCTTTTCAGTCTACTAAATTTGGTAAATAGGATACCTTATATAATAAGTATAGATACAAATAAATAACATGCCAAAATTTTAAAGAATAATTAGTGTATTTTAATTTATTATCTAGCCATCAGTAATATCATTTAATGATGTGATCATTATCCCTTAAATGATAAATAAAATATTAATTTTAAAAAATATTTATTTTTTATATACTCAAATAAAAATTAAAAAATACTATCGAAAAATATGAATTATAATATTATATCAGTAAAATCATTGCAGATCATTGTAGAAGTTAATAAAATTATTTAAGGAAAGAATTTTTTTGATCATATTTGAATAGGAAATGTATATATGCAAGCAATTAATGCATATAGTAAAAAATTTCTAAATAAAATATGCATTAAATGTGAGTTGACTTTTTTTGCTACTACTTTTGGTAAATAGTATGGCTTTTAATATAAGTATAGATTTGAATAACATTTTAACATACAACTCCTTTATTTCTTCTTTTAATTGACATAGTTCATTTTAATTCAGATAGTTCATGTTGGTAGCAGTTGAAAGTTTACCTCCAATTTGTACTTTTTCCTTTAGTTTGAATATTTCGTCTCTATATAAGAAAAATAGACCAAAAGATTATTTTTTGTTATTTTATGCTTAATAAAATTGATTTAACATGGGTTTAGAATTTATTTTATAAGCTACTTTTAGGTCCGTTTATTATAAGATACTTAACACAATTTTGTTTACTTACCCTACAGCGCAACAGAGGCCTGTTATTGCAACTTTAACTAGACTTTTCAATGAGACGAGTGAAGCATTAGGAGGAGGACCACGCAAACGAGAAATCGAGGATAACTCGAAGAAGTTAGGTGCCCTGTTTGCAAAGCTCAATAGTGGAGATGTATCTAAGAATGCTGCGGAAAAGCTTGTTCAACTCTGTCAGGCCCTGGACATTGGTGATTTTGGTACTGCCCTCCAAATCCAGGTACAAGAAAAATTAAAAGTCAGATATATATATATATATATATATATATATAAATATTTAATATATGTATGCCTTGTTGACTAAATGACTCCTTTTTGTATAATATCTTTAGGTGCTGCTCACGACTAGCGATTGGGATGAATGCAACCTCTGGTTAGCAGCACTCAAAAGAATGATCAAGGCCAGACAGAATTTCCGATAAATTACGAATCAACTGTCATTGTGGTTTTTACTTCAGTCCTATAGGTGTAACATCTGTATACAAGAGCTTAATGGATTGAGTGCCGGTTCATTTTTTTTTTTCGGCGATGTGATATTGTTTTGCTTTAATTTCATTTGAAACTTCGAGAACAGTCCAACAAAATACAGTTATGAGGACTACGATAATATTTATTTTATTTTATTTTTTTTTTTTTTTGCAAATATCTTCAATGCACAGCGTATCTAGTACTGAGATAAACCGTGATATAGATTTTTTTTTTCTTCCTCTTAGTTTAATGTCTGATTTGTATTTTCTTTGCTGTTGTTGTCTTGTCCACTTTTTCTTTACGTTGCGTTTACGCTTTCATTGCACCTTTTGTCTCGTCTCATGAATGATAGTACCATTTGTAAGTTCATGGTGTGATTCATTAATTTCATACGTGCTTATACTCTATTTAAAGATAATTATTTTTATTTTTCTTTTTTGTTTTATAAAAAGTCAACATTAGTAGTGTTAATATAACTATAATTGAAAGAATAAACATTGTGTATATTACTAAGTAAATAAACTTTCTTAATATATATTAGCATACTGATGCTATCACAATGCGACTCTCTTGATGGCTGCAAAACGACTCCCTCTGTGCGTTGTATATTAAAGTTACCTTTTGGATGAAAGCTGACGAGCTCTTCGAATTTTGGGTTTGTTTTCTCCTTTTGCGTGAGGATTATAAGTTATAACCTAGTGCCTTGAAGTAACATGTGTATTGCCAACATGTTAGACGAGACTAATCTTTTTAACAAAATTTGCAAAATGGCCTCATATTAATAAAGCGAGTACATAATTGGTTTGTGGAAAAAAAGGATGTTGAGAAAGAGAACTGGGATCTCAGTCACATTATGTTTCATTGTCCTAGAGCTAGGAGATGATGGAAATTATTAGGGTGTCTTGGGGCTGTCTACAGAATGAAGGGTGTGGTGGAGAGTGGTGAGAAAAAATTGTAATACTCGTAAGTGTAGTTGCATGGTTGATAGTATCAGCCTATCCACATATTTTTTGTGGTGGCTGTGAAAAACCAGAAACAGTTGGATTTTTTAGCACAAATGGGTTGCTAAAGAGAATATTGTGCAATTGGCCGTAGATGATTGGATATTGGTTTAGTGCAGTTAGAAAATGAGAAGCCAAGATT